GCCGTCCCAGACTCCTGGCTTGGGTGCCGTCCCAGACTCCTGGCTTGGGTGCCGTCCCAGACTCCTGGCTTGGGTGCCGTCCCAGACTCCTGGCTTGGGTGCCATCCCAGACTCCTGGCTTGGGTGCCGTCCCAGACTCCTGGCTTGGGTGCCGTCCCAGACTCCTGGCTTGGGTGCCGTCCCAGACTCCTGGCTTGGGTGCCGTCCCAGACTCCTGGCTTGGGTGCCGTCCCAGACTCCTGGCTTGGGTGCTGTCCCAGACACCTGGCTTGGGTGCCGTCCCAGACTCCTGGCTTGGGTGCCGTCCCAGACTCCTGGCTTGGGTGCCGTCCCAGATCCTGGCTTGGGTGCCGTCCCAGACTCCTGGCTTGGGTGCCGTCCCAGACTCCTGGCTTGGGTGCCGTCCCAGACTCCTGGCTTGGGTGCCGTCCCAGACTCCTGGCTTGGGTGCCGTCCCAGACTCCTGGCTTGGGTGCCGTCCCAGACTCCTGGCTTGGGTACCGTCCCAGACTCCTGGCTTGGGTGCCGTCCCAGACTCCTGGCTTGGGTGCCGTCCCAGACTCCTGGCTTGGGTGCCGTCCCAGACTCCTGGCTTGGGTGCCGTCCCAGACTCCTGGCTTGGGTGCCGTCCCAGACTCCTGGCTTGGGTGCCGTCCCAGACTCCTGGCTTGGGTGCCGTCCCAGACTCCTGGCTTGGGTGCCGTCCCAGACTCCTGGCTTGGGTGCAGTCCCAGACTCCTGGCTTGGGTGTAGTCCCAGACTACTGGCTTGATTGCAGTCCCAGACTCCTGGCTTCGGTGTCGTCCCAGACTCCTGGTGTGGAGAAATTTATCTTGAAGTGGGCTAAGCCCCCTTTACATTCCCACTCTGACAGTGCAGGTGTGGTCCAATAGGGCCACGACCTCCTCTTTCCATTAGCGGAGATGAAGAGAGACCTTATGTCTTGCTAAAAAAGAAAGCTTCAGTAAGCCATTCCAGATTATCCATATACGTATCTTACTATGCAGATTTGGAGTGCAACTATATTGGCTCTAGATCAAAAGTAGGTAAAATGGACATATGATCCTTGCATATATACAGCTGACTCTTCTCTCCTGTAGGAGAACCTGCAATATAATATATTCACGTGTTTGTCTGAGGCAGCTTCTTTTTCTAAGATCAGTTTAAAAATATGTATAGTAATATGCCTCTAGCCTTGTAATATAGTTAGTAGCATTATGCTCAGTAAGCAGTATCTTGGAGTCAAGGAATCCATATTCTTTGATCCAACTAAGTTGTCAGAGCTGGCAGTTATGCCTGAAGACATTGTCAGCAGAAAATCAACTATAGACATAATGTAGCACCAAGAGTGAGATTGCAGTTGACACACGAATTCAGCCAGTGACGTTGTAGGTAGTTAACAAGTGACCACTAGTGATTTGTGCATGCCTCATTAGCTCCCTGGAGATAATTTTCTCCACACCTGGCTTGGGTGATGTCCCAGACTCCTGACTTGGGTGCCATCCCAGATTGACACTTTCTCTTGGACTTTCCCTCCAGTCTGATATCAGGGCTTAGGCTTTCCTACAGATTGACATCGAGACTTGGGCTCTTGCCCAAATGATATGACTTAGGCTCTTGCCCAAATGATATGACTTGGGCTCTTGCCCAAATGATATGACTTGGGCTCCTGCCCAAATGATATGGCTTGGGCTCCTGCCCAAATGATATGGCTTGGGCTCCTGCCCAAATGATATGACTTGGGCTCCTGCCCAAATGATATGACTTGGGCTCCTGCCCAAATGATATGACTTGGGCTTTTACCAGACTGACATCAGGGCTTGGGCTTTGCCCTAGATTGAGTGTGGTTTGGTCCCACCTCCTCCCTTCATCCTGACATTGTGGTTTGGACTTTTTTCAGACTGATATTTTGGCTCGGTGCCAACCCCCATCCAATATCATGGCTTGGGCCCTCCCAGACTGACAACATGGTTCCCTCCCCTACTGCTTCATCTGAGATTGACAGGGTTAATAACATACTTCAAGAACCCAGTTCCTCTTAATTTCTTTTAGAATAAATATTTTTTTCCTCGTGTTTACTTTTTTTCTTAATGCTTTTATAATGTACCTAAAAGATGCACCTGTGCTACATAATTACACAAAAATTTTTAGAGAGATTTATCCAGTGTGACATGTCATCCAGTGGCACATGACAAGTACTGTGGCAGGGGTCGAGAGGAAGTGTTAACAGTGTAATACTTGTGTAGTGTATTGTAAGTGAATAAGTGATAGTACCTGTAATGTCAGCATAGCAAGGACCATGATTGTAAATGGTACTGTCACAAATATAATACTACACAAGTATTGCACTGTTAACAGAAGCTGCTGCTGCTTAGCTGCCACAGATCATTAAAAGATTTTTACTGCCTCTGCTTGCTTTCTCCATTGGTGATGAATATATGTACCCTAAGTCAGTCTTGATGCCCAAAAAATAACACTCAAGACAAGTGGTGGGAACTTTTGAAAATAAAAGCAGAAAAATCTATCACTTTGGTTTCCTCTGAATTTTGTTCTTTCATGCTTTGACTGTAGTCTTTCAGCAACCACTGCTTCAGTTAAGAGGATCTTCTCAACTTTTTTGGAAGATTCATACCAAATTAAGAAACAGACTAGGTAAAGACTGAAACACTTTAAGTGTAATAAGATGCTTATGGGTTTAAGTATGACAATTGACAAATAACATGTACATATGAGACTAAAACTTAGGATGGCATTTTGGTCCGACTTGAACCATTAAATAGTTGCAAAGACTTGCGGAGGACTGGTAAATGCTAACAAGCATACACACGAGAATCTTCATTCATCACTGTCATAATTATTATTTTATTATCACACCGGCCGATTCCCACCAAGGCAGGGTGGCCCGAAAAAGAAAAACTTTCACCATCATTCACTCCATCACTGTCTTGCCAGAAGGGTGCTTTACACTACAGTTTTTAAACTGCAACATTAACACCCCTCCTTCAGAGTGCAGGCACTGTACTTCCCATCTCCAGGACTCAAGTCCGGCCTGCCGGTTTCCCTGAATCCCTTCATAAATGTTACTTTGCTCACACTCCAACAGCACGTCAAGTATTAAAAACCATTTGTCTCCATTCACTCCTATCAAACACGCTCACGCATGCCTGCTGGAAGTCCAAGCCCCTCGCACACAAAACCTCCTTTACCCCCTCCCTCCAACCCTTCCTAGGCCGACCCCTACCCGCCTTCCTTCCACTACAGACTGATACACTCTTGAAGTCATTCTGTTTCGCTCCATTCTCTCTACATGTCCGAACCACCTCAACAACCCTTCCTCAGCCCTCTGGACAACAGTTTTGGTAATCCCGCACCTCCTCCTAACTTCCAAACTACGAATTCTCTGCATTATATTCACACCACACATTGCCCTCAGACATGACATCTCCACTGCCTCCAGCCTTCTCCTCGCTGCAACATTCATCACCCACGCTTCACACCCATATAAGAGCGTTGGTAAAACTATACTCTCATACATTCCCCTCTTTGCCTCCAAGGACAAAGTTCTTTGTCTCCACAGACTCCTAAGTGCACCACTCACTCTTTTTCCCTCATCAATTCTATGATTCACCTCATCTTTCATAGACCCATCCGCTGACACGTCCACTCCCAAATATCTGAATACGTTCACCTCCTCCATACTCTCCGGTTTAATAAAGTCTAGTTACTTCAAAGTTTTTTTTTTTTTTTGTGGGTTGTAGATTTATGTATGTATCTATTGCAGACTGTTGTTTAATTATAATTTTTTAAATTACATGCTTTACTGTTCAGTACAGATACTTTACTGAGCTTCTTATATTTAAAAGAAGAGCATTGTCATTTTGTACTCTGCCTTGTAAAACTGTTGTGTAACATGTTTACACATTACATGTCTAAATTTAATATTCATAGCGCTGATCAACAGTCCCTCAGTGATTTGTGTTCATAATTCTGAATTATGCTGTGCAGTTTGTATACAGTAACAATACGATACTTTTTTTTTTTTAAATACTGTACACTATTTTTGACTAGCCTATAAAGAACATTAATATATAAAAAGCTAAACTACTATCTACTTACACACCATCATAGTTTTTTTGAGTTAAGGTGCCAAGGCAGGCCTGGGTTTAAGCTAAAATACCCAGCCAGGAGGGTAAATTGATAGCTGCCTGTGGTGCTACCCACTGCAACCCTTATTGTGGCAGCCTGCTTACCTCTTGTGGCAGCCTGCTTTTCTTTTTTGGTGTGTTTTCTTCTTGCAGCCTGATCTCCTCTTGTGGTAGCCTGTTCTCTTGTGACAGCCTGTTCTCTTGTGGCAGCATGTTTTCCTCTTGTGGCAGCCTGTTTTCCTCTTGTGGCAGCCTGCTTTCTTCTCGTGACAGCCTGCTCTCCTCTTGCATCACTACCAACCTTTGCAATTTCTTCCTGGAGAGCTGTCTTCGACAAAGAGCAACTGTGACAACTCCCACTTGATATTGTATTCATTATCTTTAAAACCCACACACCTTCCCAACACCCTAGCATATACTCATCAGGTGTTCCACCTTTCCCACATGACATTTAGGAACATTATTAATGTAATAATGGTATGACAAGCATAAACTTTTGTGGGAAATATTCCTGGCAAGGAAGTTCCGCTGATGTGAAGTAAGAGAAGCTGGAGATGGAGAGTTATTGGCAAGAATGAATGTGTGTGCACTTAATATACATATATTCCATCCATTCAGAAAAACTGTAGAGGTGTGCTAAGTGTACTATGGCTGAATCCAAATAGCATGCTTCCAACAGTGATGAAGAATGGGCCCACATTGTGTAGCAAACTATCCCCATGATTGTTTATTCTGCAGTGTGTGTCTTTTCAAGACACCTTATTTTGGATGTGGCCAAGAGGATGTTTTTGGGTCATATTTACTTTTTAGCTTAAGGACATTGTCATATATTAACAGGAATTCCTTTTTCTGCAGGTATCAAAAATGTTCTAGTGCTTTTCTGCTCAGCCTTGACTGAACACAAGATTCTCTTCCACAGTCATTCATATTGCAGACTCACAGAATCTTGTCATGCTCTAAAGGCCCTTCTTTACCCATTCAAGTGAGTTTTTTTTATGCTGTACTGTTTGTTATTGAGGTGAGGTTATATTACTTAAATTTAACCTTTTCATTGTTGAGACCCCTGCTTTCAATCTTGCTCTCTGGGTTGAAGAATTTATAAAAAAAAAAAAATAGGAAATAATAGAGAATGTTTTTCTGAAGGTATTGAAACCAAAAGTATTAAATTTCATGGAAAACTTACAGAATTATGCTCTCGCAAAGTTAGCAGTTTCTGTAATCTTTACGCCTTGGCAATTTGTGCTCTATGTTTGGCCAATTCTTTTGTTCCAGTCCACCAAACTCATTGCTGAAATTCTCTAGTTTTCCTTCTATTCTATCGATTAAGTACAAGAAACCACTCATTTACTTATTTCAACTATCCAGTGAAGTGATCAGAAATCAGTAATTTGGCTAATTTCATACAAAATTCAGCAATTGCCAATTTGAAAATAGGGTCCAGAATAAACAATGTAGACATTCCTGGCACTAAATAAACATTTCCTCTGTTCCTTAGTTATGCCTCCAAGCCCTTCTTATATTATGCTTGCTTTTCATTTTTAATTTTTATTCATACAAAAAATAGAAAATTTATTGTTATGCAGACTACTGTATTATTGTAATAATTGTATAAATAATTTCAGTGCATTCCTGAATGCACATTAGATTAGCCAGTTAGACGTGTATTGGACAAGTGACGTCATTTGTGTACTCTGGAATATCAGGAAAAATCGAACATTTTTCACTCAATTTCAGGCTACTGTTAGTTCTGAAACTAATCAAAATTGTCCCTGTTTCTATAATATATCTTCCATTCTATCAATTGAGACCAACAAACTGAGAATACAATCGTAAAAACCATACGAAAATAGTGGTACCTCGAGTTACGAACTTAGTTCGTTTCAGAAGGCTGTTTGAGTGCCGTTACCGAATGAATTTGTTCCCACAAGGAATAATGTAAATTAGATTAGTCCGTTTCAGACCCCCAGAAATACACTTACAAAAGCACTTACAAAAATACACTTGCATAATTGTTCGAGTTGGGAGCTGTTTGAAACTTGAGGTACCACTGTACACTGCAAAGTCTCTGTTTTAAACCAAAAAAAATGGTCACAGTTTTTTCTCGTGCACTGCGTGCTGCAAAATTTTTTATATGGTGCACACTTACCGCATAGACTTATTCTCTCATATCTAGGCCCAAATTTACCGCTCACAGCTTATCTGAGTGAGCTTAGCTCATGGCGTCATACGACAGGACAGACACTGGCTTCAAAGCCGTGATTCAACGGGACTGACATCACAAGGGTTACTATTGCTTTCAGCAACTGAAATGATAGAAAATCTTTTTCTGGAGATAATGACATGAAAAGTATGAAATTTAATTGAAAACTTGGGAAATTATGAAATTTAATTGAAAACTTAGGAAATTATGAAGGCGCAAAGTTAGCAGTTCTGGTGCTGTTTACACATTGGTGATTTCGCTGACTATTTTAAGCCAATTCCAAAGCTCCAGTTGATCAAATTCTTGTCTATTTTGCTAGTATTCCTTATGTTCTATCAATTAGCACAAGAAACTGTCTATTCAACTATTTCAACTATTCTATAAAGTTCAAAAATTTGGCCAGTTTTACATGAAGTTCAAATAATAACATTTTAACCCTTTGAGGGTTGGTCCCGTACTTATATGCCAAAATTCTAGCACCTTCAGATCTGTCATGGTCGGTGTGCGCAGTATAAAAAAAAAATCCTGCAGCCCGCAGTGCATAATGAGAAAAAAAACTCTGACCTTGTTTTTGCTTTAAAACAGTCACTTTGCAGTGTATTTTCGTATGGTATTTATGGTTGTATTCTTGTTTTCTTAGTCTCATTTGATAGAATGGAAGATATATTACAGAAATAGAGATGATTTTGATTGAAATTGAGCTCAAAGTAGCAGAAATGTTCGATTTTTGCCAATGTTCGAGCAAATAAATCACGCCACACATCCAATACATGTCAGCTGGTGAGTCTGATATTCTTTCACAAGTGCGCTGATATTATTTATACCATATTTACTAAACTGTTGTATTCTGAGCACCTCTGCAAAAGCAGTGATAATGTGTGAGTGTGATGAAAGTGTTGAATGATGATGAAAGTATTTTCTTTTTGGGGATTTTCTTTCTTTTTTGGGTCACCCTGCCTCGGTGGGAGACGACCAACTTGTTGAAAAAAAAAAAAAAAATTTTACAATAATGCAGTAGTCTGCAAGAGTAATACAAGAGGGGCCTGGGGACATGACGAATGAACAGAGAAAATGTTATCTTAGTGCCAGAAATGTCTCTTGTTTATTCTGGACCCTATTTTGAAATTGGCATCTCTTGAAATTTGTGTGAAATTCGCCAAATTGCCAGTTTCTGATCAGGTGGTTTCTTGTACTCAGTCGATAGAACAAATGGAGTTCTAGCAACATAGTTATGATTTTAGTTGACTGGAACAATGGAATTGACCAAAAATAGCGCTTCAAAGTGGGTGAAATCACCGACATGGAAATATCGCCGATATTGCTAACTTCGCAAGAGCGTAATTTTGTAAGTTTTCCATCAGATTTTGTACTTTTAGTGTCATTACCATTGGGAAAAGATTATCTATCATTTCATAAAATCTTTTTTTTTTTTTTTTTAACCCTGAAAGCGAGTTGAGGATCGGTGGTCTAGATCCTCAGAGTTAAAAATATAGTCCGTAATAAATATTTCCTCTGTTTGTTAATCACATCCGCAGGCCTCTTCTATATTACACTTGCATTCCATTTTGAATTCTTAATAAAATATAACCAGGAATGATTGGTTATGGTTTATAGTACAGTGGACCCCCCGGTTTACGATCATCGCCCAATGCGACCAATTATGTAAGTGCATTTGTACGTGTATGTTTGGGGGTCTGAAATGGACTAATCTAATTCACAATATTCCTTATGGGAACAAATTCGTTCAGTAATGGCACCTGAACATACTTCTGGAATGAAATAATATCGTAAGCCAGGGGTACACTGTATTCCAATATTTGAATCAGACCTATAAAATAATGAATCAGATCTATAAAACAGACAGGGTGTAGGAGGGGCCTTACTTATTTTCAGGAATATTGGCAAAAATTGAACATTTCTGTTACTTTGAGCTTATTTTCAAGATACTATAGTTCTACTCCTGAAACCAATAAAAATCATCTTTATTTCAGTAGTATGTCTTCCATTTTATCAAATGATACCAAGAAACAGCCAACAAAACCATAAAAATCAGTCGAGAAAACACCTCATAGTTGCTATTTTAAACCACTCGCATTCTCAGAGTTTTGTATTTCCCATCATGATGCACCGCATACGACAGCTTAGCTGAGTGAGCTGAGTTCATGACAGAGGACTATGTGAGGGACCCCTGGCCTCAGTGATGTACAATAAGATTTTTTAACCCTTTGACTGTCGAAGGGCCCAATCCTGAAGTTGCTCCTGGTGTCGCAAAATATTCGAAAAAAAAAAAAATTATTTTTTCTTATGAAAATGTTAAGATTATTTTTCTGATTGTTTTAGTCCCAAAAAAAAATTTTTCTCATCAGTACTTACCGAGATATAGAGTCCTGAAGTTTGCTGAAATTGATCTGCTGGCGGCAACAGCGGCGACTGCCGCTCACCCGGTAAACTTTTATTTACTTGTATTCGATGGTTTCTTGTTTTTTTCACTATTTTATTTTTTCAAAAAAATTTTGTGGCCGTGAGCCCCAAATTTTTGTGCAATGTTCAAATTACACTGTTGAATGTAACAAATTTAAAGCAAAAACACCGTATCATTATAATGTTGCAAAAAACTTGTTTCCAAAAAAAACAATGAAAAACAAATTTTTATTACGATTGTTTTAAAATTTATTAAAATATTACAACACTGGAACTTTTTAAAAGTGCTGCAGCTTGTGGAATTCTTTGAAACATGGGTAAAACCCAAAATGGTGTTTTCACCCCTCAAATTTAAAAACGAGTGTTCTGCGTTTTTGTTGGGTTTTGGGGTAGCCAAGACAAAAACCCCTCTTTTGAGCATTTTTTTTGGCGTAGTCAGCAGTGGTTGGGGTATTTATACCAGGCCTCAGACGAGAGGAAAGTGTTGATAATTTGTGGGGCTGGTCTATTGCGGTTTGTTTCTTGGACTTGATATTTTTTGTCTGAGGACGGGCCAAATTCACCTTTTTGGGTTTGTTTTGGTCTTCAAACTTATACATTTATAAGATTAGATGGAAATGTCAAGAAGAGGGAAAAAAAAAGTTTTATGTCCAACTTATAATCTTGGAAAAACAGTCAGAAAACCCCAATCTGCATGTCACATTTGTCCACTAAGGCATATTGAGGTTGTAACCCTCACGCTGCAGGTTTTTTAAAATTTGGTTATTGGCTCTCTTTTTGCTTGCCAGTCTCTCCCTTTCGTGCGGTGAATGAGTCAGCGTGGGACATCACTTTTGTCATGCCACAAAATGCCTGATGTCATTGGGAAAAACACCTCACTTCACCTTAGACTCCCAGTTTCAAACCCTAGGCATATTTTTTTCGCTTTCGACTGGCCCCAAAAAAATCTGTCATGTTCACTCGCAAGAAATCACGGAGTTGGGGCTTGTGTACCTTTGTATATAAAAAAATTCCCCCCTTACCAAGTATGGTCCATCATTGTTTAACCCATCCCAGAGTTTCCCCCAGTAATTCTGGTTTCTTATTTTTTTACCGAAGGTACACAATTATAAAAAAACCAGCGTTTTGAATCACACGAACAAAAAACTTTATACCAAGCGTTTCCCCTGCTTGGTATTTAAATGCTTTAATGAGAGTCTTCCTTTGAAAAAAAATCAAAGACTCGTCAATAAAAAGCTTCTGAAGGGATAAAAATAATACGCATTTTGTTTCAGGTCATAAACCACACGTTGTTTTTAAATGTCGTTTGTCAGGCCTGGTTTTGTTGAAAGTGTAAATGTAAAAAGTAAACAATTATTCAC